CACTGCAAAAATAAGTGAAAATAAATAAATGAAATCATGTTACATGTATTAATGTTCACACCTTTACTCAAATTTTTCAGTGTCTGTTATCACTAGAGAAATTTGTTATATCTTCTCATTTGAGCCCATTTCTTTTACTTGTATCCAGATTGCTTAAGATAGTTTGCTTTTTGAATATGTGTCTGATGTGGTCAACTGGAAGTTTTATATGATGCCACAAGTACCGTTTGCTGTTTTTGATCATGATTATAATCTCTTAGAATACTGTATTTTTAGAGTGATCTTTAACATGATTATTATGATTCTGACACATATAACTGGGGTCACAAATTTAGGAAACTTCTTTGCCTTTTTAAAAATCTGTTGTTAGGTAACGTCTGTAAGTATCTCAAACTGTCACACCTTGTCCTATAAGAAAGTAATAAGACTTTAAAAGAGTAGAGTATATTACCATAAATGCATTTCCTGAGCCCTTTGCTTATTGTGGATTCACCCAATCCAGGCACTCATTTTTTAGCTTGGGTATTTTGTTTTCTTCATTTGATCTTAGAAGGTTGAGAGTCAGTGTGTACACTATTAATAATACTATATGTATAATGCTATTGGGAAAGTCATGATTCTAAAACTTGTTTTATAGGAAAAGTTTCTTTTAGGTAGTCTCACATCTTCTGAACTTATTTTTGCATGGATATTATATGACTGGAAATTCCCTAATTTATTTTGCTTCTTTACTACAGGGGACAGCAGTTTGCTCAGCAAATACAACAACAGAATCCTGAACTTATAGAGCAACTGAGAAATCACATCCGGAGCAGATCCTTCAGCAGCAGCACTGAAGAACATTCCTGATTTGATCAGAATATGGCCCAGAATATAAATGTTTTATGGCTCCAAAGTATTCACTGTAGATAGTAGCCAAAAACAAAAACAAAAGCACCATATCTGATGTGTGAGAATAATGAAGGAAAACCTCTTGTGTATATTCTTAAAGAATAATTCTGTTTAGATAATAGGTTTATCACAAACAGAGGTGAACATAACAGACTCCTTTGGAAGCAAATGATTAGTAGCCTTGTTAAGTGTCAGTATGGCACTGGAACAAGGTTCCATCCATTTTGAAACTTTTATCATATTTGTATATTAGACTTACTAGCAGAGTATATTTATTGAACAGTAGGACTGTTTATTGGTGAGTTCTTTAGCTTTTAATTCCCTTCAGGAAGGTTTTTTTTAGCAGGAAGATAGGACTAAGTGGAAAAGTATCCTATGCAGGTTGAAAAGAAATATATTTGTCACTTGACAAGCGTGTCAGGAAAAGAAACTTATTACATAGGTTTAGCTTTGATAAGCGCTGTCAATATATGTCATAGGTGTCAGTACTGTTTTTGATGCTGCTGTCTTGATGAGTGACAGGGAGTCTTTAAGAGCTTGTGGAAAGCAGTTATTTGGTACAAGGGATGCTATGAAGAGAAAAAATAATGTGAATTTATATGTAAAGTAAAGGTAGGATGCTCAGGTTTTTTGCATAGTTCTTAAATAATCTTGTCTGCAGTTTAATATCAATAACATTAGCATGGCCAGTTATGATAAGTATATAATAAAATAACACTTAGAAATCCTTATTTATACTGATTAGGTTAGTGATATGTAACTGTTCAACTTAATTACCACAATTTCCCTGGTGGTAAACTTAGGTTTGAAAATTATCAAATATACCTATATTTAAATAAGCCAATGGCTTGACCCTAAGTTAAGGATTTTCTAAGTGAAATTTAATTATATACTCATAAACATTGATTTTTTTTTAAAAAAAAGTAATAATTATTTGATGGATTAAAAAATGCATCTATTAGTAACATTGCTTGTTCATGCAATCCTCTGCTATAATTTGGCTTGGCATGCCAATCTTATGCTTAACCTTAATTTGAGGCAATTTAAATATAACAGGAGACATAAAATTTTTTATTATAAATTAGATGCCATATTGGTTGGTAGGGGAAATGCCATTAGGTACTAATGGCATGGTTTTAAATACAGGGGAAAACAAGACAAGTCTAATTCCAACTGGGATTTTGTTGTTAATCTTGAAATTGGTGAAGTGGGCTAACCTGTAATGAGTTTATAAGTGTTATGAGGGAAAACTGAAAAAGAAGGTAATTTAAAAAATTTGTAAAATTGATGCAATAAGGACCTTACTATAACAGTTCCAAAAAGACTATTTGATACACTGAAGTTTCTCCTTTTTTTCCCCCCTTTGTGAGATAAGAACCATGAACCATGGTTTTGTAATTTCAGTGTAATCATCTCCTAGGGGAATTCATTATATATGCAGAATTGCCGCAGTCCAGCTGCAGCAAAATAACGGGGGGGGGGGGGGGGGGGGGTGACGAACAACTTGTGAACGTTGATACAGCAGGAGTAGGAGCCGTTTATTGCAGGACAGGAGCAGTATTTATACATTCCACACAGCTTATCTAATTAGCATAAACTAGATACATCAGTCAACCAATAAGGAATCTCCACACTTAATGGCTCGCTTTTGTTACTTCTCAAACCACTCCCTCTGGCATTTTGCCAGGTACCATCCAGACTTGTTTACGAACTCTAACATTCCCCTGGCAAAATGCCAGGTGTTATTTTTGACTTGTTTACAGACTCTAACACAGAATGAGGGCCACACTATCAATTTTTACTTAGTAAATACTGTATTAAGACGTAGGAATCAGCATTTTAAGTAGTGTACCGGTTTAGAGGTAGGTCCAAGGACTCAAATTTACAGCAATATTAGATTTCTCCCCAACTAGACCAACAAATACTTATCCACTTGGACTTGGGCCAAAATGAAAGAACTGTGTGAACCTATAGTTAAGGCCAGAGAATAACAGGCCCTCTGAAATTAAATTTCCTATATTGCATCTAATCCATCTTAATTTTTTACGAAGTTACACACAGCTCCTAGTGTTTAAGTGTTATAAAAGAATGAAGTACTAATCAAACAGGAGTTACAGTTGTGATTAAAAAGAACAAAGCTGATCCTTAAAACTAGTCATTTTTATTCAGTGTTTAATAAATTAATGTATTCAGCATTCCTATTTTGAGTGCATTAAATATTCTTTTAGATCAATAAAATTTGATAAGCCTGTAGCTGACTATGAAAATAGAATATACAAATTAATAGTCTATTATCAGAAATTAAAGAGGAGGGCTGGGGATGTAGCTTAGTGGCAGAGAGATTATGGGAAATGGTGGGTTTATACATCTCTAGCACAAAGAGCAAAAAAAAAAAAAAAGCAGATATACCCGAGACCCTGTAGACATAAAAGGGTAATTATAAACACTATGACTAACTCTAGATCTATATATTTTACAACTTAGATGAAACAGACATTCTTTCTAAGGTAAAAACTACCCAAGCTCACTGGAGAAACAGCTTGAATAGACCTATATTTTACAAAGTTGAGTTTATAGATAAAAACCTTCCAAGAAAGAAAACTATGGGCCAGATGACTTTAATGGTGAACTCTACTGAACACATAGGGGAGAAATTAACATCAAATCTACTCATTGTGTTCTAGGAAACAGAAGAGGAAGAAACACTTTCCATCTCTTTTTTTTTTTATTTTGGCCAGTGGTACCTGGATAACAGAATCAAAGAGAATAGTAAGAAAACACTTTAAAACACTGCCTTCATGTGCTAGCATCTGTAGTTAAAGGGAGCCATTCTTTTAACATGAAATTATGGGAACTGGTGTGTTCCATTTCATGCTGTTTCTTTGAGAATATATCACCCAAAACAAAATATTGTCAATCTAGATGACACCTGTCCACTTATGTGGATTCCATTCAAGGCAAGCCAGCTTTACTCTTCAGGTCCCTTCATCACTTTGGAATCATTGCATTAGAAGCCATTTCAAGAAAGTTTTGTGTGATTTGATTGTACTAGATATTTTTAAAATTATAGAGAATATTATTATTCCTTGTCTGGAAAATATAGTCACTTCTCAGAGAAAAAAAGAGGGCATTAAAATAAATCTTTATATACAGACATTCTAATAAGGAATGCTTGACTTTCATTACACACATTTCATTGTAGTAGCTGTAACCATGCTATAGAAAACAGAACATGTCCTTTTTATGCAAGTGACATTTTCATTTAATGTACCAAATTGTTAATTTGATTTTTATAAGTTGAATACAGATCCTTTCTAAAATGGCATTATCTAATCATTACTTAAATAATGTTACTTATAAATAGAAGAGACTGTACTTAAGTCAATGTATACAGCAGATTTAAATTGACTATTATGTTAAAGTTTGAAAGAATGAAACAGGTTCCAGTCATGAGAAGATGCTTGAAAAACAATCAAAGTACCCAGTGCAGTGGCTATAGTCTTATTTCATCATTTGATTAATCTTAAGTCATTTTGGAAGAATGAATACTTCAGTTTTACACTGCTTGCACTTTATTTTGCATAGATATCTCATTAACTCTTATTTGAGGGGCAACTCTTCTGAATATAGCTTTCATTTTGAGCAAAATTTGTCATGGCAATAAATAAATTATGCATTCAAGAAAAACCAATTTTTGTATTTGACTTAATGTACTCTTACATTTAAGAAACTACACATTCTTGAATTTCAGCTTACGAAATAGGATGATTTTATTTAGGAGTATAACCTTTTTTTCCCCTGGCAAAACAGTGAAACATTTTGTTAAATTTATGTTGCAAAGTGTTTAGAGCCTTATTTCTCTCACTGTTTTTGTTCATGGCATAAATGTGATTACATGCAGAGATAGTTTTATAATATTAATACATGATTTAGAGTTTAAAATCAAATATTAGAAGGTAGGACTCCTTTAAATATGTGTAATGGAAACAGTTCATTTTTCAATGGGAAAAATCTAGGAGTTTGTAGCTTAGAATTAGGTCATTATTAGGCATTTTAGTGAAAAGTTAAATCAACAACCAACTAAGAAATAAATGAATTTTGATCTGCTGTTCAGTATCTGAAAGTTAGATTTATTTTTATGTATACACAAACACAACACATACCAATACAATGATTTTGAGAATAACTAGAAAAGTTCATACTGTGTTAGCAAATTATCAGGTTACAGGGGACTACCCCATTTGTTTTAAACAATCCTTTCTGTATTGTGAGAATTCTAAAATTCAAATAAACAACTTTATCTTCCAGATTGAGATCAGCAAACGGTCACCCACAGGTCAGATCCAGTAAGCTGCCTATTTTCGTAAATACCACTGTGCTTTTTTTTTTTTTTTTTTTTTGCCTACAGCTGCTCTTGCACTATATTTGGTATTTTGCCCTTTATAAAAAAAGTTTGCTGACTACTGTTCTAGGTACTTGCTAAGGACAAATGGCCTCAAATATAGAACTTTTGTAGAACAAAGTCCAAAGGTCACCTAAAATGAAGCAAAGTACAGAAAACATAAAAATGTCCACTTAAGAATATAACTCACAAGATAAAATTGATTCTTCTCAAAACAAATATTTAATATTTTAACTTACAGGAAAGAAAAACAATATATACTTATTTTTGATTTGAACATTTCACAAAGGTGAAAAAAATACAGAAAGCAGTTCTGTGAAAACAAATGAAAAAAGCATAACACTGGGAATTTCCTTTAGCTTTCCACTTTAACGGCTGAAGATACCACACAGACTTGTGCGATGTCATCATATTCATATGTTCTCTTTAAGAATGTGTCTGTTATTCTTAAGCCGGAAACACTCTATTGAGAGAAAGATGAAGGCCTCAGTTTTTAATCACTGATAATTATTAGAGAAAATATGGCTATAATAAATGACTATAAATTAGCCCCCATACACTTGAAATCATTGAAAAGAGAACATACTTGTAGTCCCTGTACCGAAGACAGCAGAGTAAGGGCAAGGCAGAGAGAAGAACTTGGATGCAGCTTTCCAAGCTGTCTTCCTGAAATACCACACCAATGAATAGAACTGGTATTACACATTTCCAAAACCAGATCCATCGTCCTTTCACTGCTGGGGGAATCAGAAAAACAGGAATAAATCTTGTTCATTTCCCATGGAGATATTAGTATTTCTCCTTTATTTATTTATTTTTCCTTTTTAGTAAATTTGCTTTCTGGGTATGCTGGAGAACAAAACAAAGAGAAATGAAAAGCTATTTATCATTTTTATATTAAGAGAGTCAGGAAAATGAAAGGAGATGGCATATTCTGAGGCTTAAAATGGCTTTAACCTAATCTGCCTGCTGGAAATCAGTTTTCTGATTCTATTGTTGAACACTGGTTCCCTAGTGCTAATTTGTTAATGACTGCCATTTCTCTGGGAAACTTCTGTGCCTCCTGTTGTTTCATTGTACTCTTACTATTTCTATTACAGGAAAGAAAATGAGAAACAGAGTCTGGTCTAGTGCTTTTGAAAACCGATCTGTCCCTTTAGCATGCATACAACTTAGAAAAATGACAAGATTCATAAGAAGTAAATACTATTCATGCTTGCTTATGGTTTTATTTACTATGAAAAGACTTGTCACTAGGTCATCCAGCAAAAGTATGACAAAAAGCTCACAATGAAAGACAGTCTCCTATACCACCATTCAAATACTTATTTAAATTTTAGTTTATTCATTTTTTAGACATATTGACTTGATGACATTAACTTTTATAGTCTCTATTCCCTAACATTTTAAATACTATATGTCAGAAACTAGGTTCGATGTACTACATAAATTTCCTCATTAAATTCCATAAGCACCCAGTAAAGTTTGTACATACTGTATGTATGTTCTCTGTGTGTATTGTGTGTATGTGGGGGAGGGGATCATATTTTTATAGATGAGGCAGCTGAAGATCTAAGTGCCTTTAGAAAACTTATTTGAATCATGAAAAGTTAAAAGTGAAGGTCAAAAAATAAATTAACTTTCAAACTTTTACACTGCCAGTTATAAACTGATTTGCTTACACCTTGAAAAAACAAAAAAATTCCCTAACATACCTGTTGAGCACAGTTTATTTGCCTTGGGTGCCTTGCTATTTACTGAGCTCTTATGATGTGGCATAAACTGCATTTATAAAGTGAGTAAGACAGCTTTTCTTAACTCACAAATCATTAAGGAAGAAACTAAGTTATTTGTAAGAGTTCCTAAAAAACTAAAGTAGAATTTACAATGGCAGAGAAACATGATTAACTATGCTTCGGAAAATCTAGGTAACTTCATAGAGGAAATAGGTATTTCTGAATTTAATCCATAACATATTCTTTTCTCATTCTTATTTCACGTATTTGTTGAATATATGAATATTTTCCATTTCACTAATAGCAAAAGGCTGGAACAGATATGGAATTAAAGGATTATATATTCAAACTATAGAGGATGGGATTCAACATTTGCAATACTATCAAATTACCCCAACAAATCAGACACATCAAATAGTAATATGAGTACTTGCAAAAGTGAAAGGATTGGGATTTAAATTATTATTATTATTTTCACTTCAAAGCCCTGTTTCTTTGCCTCTCAATAGCTACATTTTCTTCTCTCTTTATTATCAAAACTGTTTTCCAACCTATGATTATCCCTTATATTATATTCATAACCAAGTTTTGGTTTCTTAATACTAAAGATATAGCTCAAGTATATGCTTCAGAAAACCCTACCTTAATATTTTGTATCTGTAAAATTCCATGAGAACCCATAGTTCATGCTTTAGTAATCTGAAGTGTGAAGAAAATTTAAACAGTGAAAAGAACATGGACTTTGAAGTCAAATACACCTGGTTTCAAACCCTGGTCCCATGTATTCTAACTCTGAACTTGAAAAATTCAACCTCTGAGTTGGCTTTCTTTTCTGTGCACAAAGGGTATGTTAGCGATTTTTTTTTTCAAGGTGTAAATGTAAACAATATCCACCCACCTAGTGTATGATGAATGAATGAAAAATACGGGAAATGCATAATACAATAGGATCTCAAAGATATGTAATATACTGCTAAAAGATGAAGATCTTCACAGTATTTGACATAAACATCAGAAAATCTACATGTCAAGAGGAAACTTAAAAAGGAGATGATGAATATTTAAGAGATCAAAAATTTTCTTTTAGATAGGGGAGAAGGAAAGGACACCCAACTACAAACATAGGCATTACCTGCAGTTAGTTATTTTACAGGTAATATGAAAAGGTTCTTCTAGGTTTACGGTATCTGGGATTGCCTCCAAAGACAACCGAACATCTCCGTAACCTGGAGCCTTAACAGAACAAGCAACACAGTTAAAATATATCTATTACAAAGCTTTTCAGTTTTCACAAAGTATCATACCAGCACATTTACTCTGGACAGAGGTTGGGACTCTAAGCTGATGTTCAGAGAAAACACTTCTAATTCATTCTATTGTTCCCTTACTTTAACTTCTTTTGGTGCTGTGGAACAGCTCTGCAGAACTGGACTGTTCTTGTCATAATTAATCCAGGTTCATCAGAGTTAAGATGAATCTTAAAGGTAAATAATCAGTAAAGAAATTTCAGGACACCTGACTTCAAAGGAATGTTTTTCAATGTTTATGTAGTTTCAGCCTACATAACTCTAAATAGGCAAGGTTACCACCTGAAAAAATACATGAGAAATCACTTTGAAATAAGCCAGGTAGAAAATCACATCTTTTCCCAAAACACCTGAGCAAGAAAGGGGTATAAAAACATCAAGGCTTGAAACATGTGATGTCAAGATGGAAACTAATTGCTACAGCTTAAAATAGGCTCAGTGACCATAATCATCATTTAAAAAATTATTGCCTCAAACGATGAAATAAAAGTAAATTTTAGGTAATGTCAGACTAGGAAATAGCATAAAGGAAGGCTCCTGTGGCAAATTCTCACTAGCAAAAAAAAAAAAAAAAAGAAAAAAAGAAAAAAAAAATTACCAGACTGGTAACTATCTGTATTCTCGGATAGAACTTAGATAAAACATCCAACCAACACTTACAAGATGACTTTAATGTGACTCACCTGAGTTTCTGATGCCTCTGATTTTTAACATCTTAAAAAAGAGGTATAGACTAAGTAGGTGTATGCAGAAAGTGCAAGAATTTCAGGACATTACAAAAAAAATAATAATAAAGTCAAAAACAAATGGTGAGCATGAATTACCAAAGGAAGGAACAATTGATAAGCAGTTATTTTAATGTTTGGTAAAGTTAAAAAAAAAAAAGGTCATGTGTTAAAGATAAATTAACATGCACATATCACTCATCTCCATACTAGTTTTCTCCTTAAAAATAAATTAAACTATTATATTAGTCTTTTCTTTAGTAATATTAGTACCTCTTATAGTACTCTGACTTCTAGTGATAGACCTAAGTAAACTTAAATTGTTCTAACTTCTTGTTGCCCCTGCCTCTCCCCAAAACCCCCACTGAAATTATTTCCAGACTCACCATTCTCTGAAGTTGGCTGGTTTGTAACCTTCCCCTTTCACCAAGGTTTGTTTTCCATACAATATCCAATTTTCCAATTACTGTAACTCCCTTAATGATACCCGCTTTTTCTGCAAACTCCTTCTTGGGCTTTAGGCAGTATAAGTACTGGCGTGTATCCATTGGCTGCAAATATGCTCTTGACCCAAATGTTGATACACTGAGAGGGGTAGAGATAAAGATGGAGAAAATTCTGTAACATCTTTTAAAAGAAAAGCCACTGCTGTGATTGTTCTTTTGTTTTATGATAGGAACTGGATGATTTACCACTCAAAGATTTAGAATAGAAGAGGTCAGTGGTTTCAACACAAAAAGTATACATACATTTATTTTTCTTTATACATTTATTTTAATATTTTTAAATCAACATGGAAAATCTTGAGATTGTTTACAATGAAATGAATCTATTACCTAAAATACTGGACCTGTAGCCAGGCGCAGTGGTGCACACCTATAATCCTAGTGGCTCAGGAGGCTGAGGCAGGAGGATGGCAAGTTTAAAGCCAGCCTCAGCAATTTAGCAAGGCCCTAGGCAACTCAGTGAGATCCTGCCTCTAAATAAAATACAAAATAGGGCTGGGGATGTGGCTCAGTGGTTGAATGCCCCTGAGTTCAATGCTGAGTACCAAAATAAAACAACAACAAAAAACCTGGACATGTATCAACTGACTGAAAAAAAAATGCAATAGAATTAAGAGTATCCCTTTTTTCTAAAATTATCAAAGAAAATAGTTTAGAAACTTTCCCCTCCCCGCTCTTGATGGGATTGAACCCAGGGTTTTGCACATGTTAGACAAGCACTCTACCACAGAGCTATTTCCACAGCCCTGAGTCCTAAGACATACTACCTTCCCACTTTTTTGGTACCAGGGATTAAACCAAGAATGCTTTGCCTCTGAGCTGCAGCCCCAGCCTTTTTCATTTTGAGCCTTGCTAAGCTGGCCTTGAACTTGCGATTCTCCTGCGGTAGCGTCCCAAGTTGCTAGGATTATAGCTGTGCACCACTGTACCTGGCTGAGACATACCATTCTAAACTAGGTAATCATTTTCAAAATGAATTAAAAGATCTGGAAAAGATTGGGAAAATTACTGTTTTCCTCAGGCAAAGGAGGCTATGAATTTTTCTATGTGTAACCACCACAACTGTATAAAGTAGGAAAATCACATACTTTCCCCACCTACTTAACTCCTTGTCTGTATCAATATCAATCCTACATTTGTTTCTTTCTCTTCTACATTAGCTGTAGAAGGATATATGTATTTCTTTTTCACAAAATAATTAAAATCATTTATTCCTATATCCACCTTATTATGTTCAGAGTGTTTTCTTTTTCAAACTCATAATCACACTAATTTTTGCTTTCTAACTACTTCTCCACCATTCCTTCCCATGTATTAGTTTTATGACTTGCAGGATAACAATGACAGGTTTCAGGATTACCTTGTTGAATTGAGAATTAAAAAGTGCTTTGAACAAAAATGCAAAAGGACTAGGATCTTTATTTTTATGTGGAGGGAGGGATGAATAGATACAGCATAGGATAGTTTTAGGAAAGTCAAACTGTTTTTTATAATACAGTAGTGGTAGATACATGCCATATATATATTTGCCAAAACCAATATCATGTATAGTACATGGAATGAATTCTTATGTAAACTATGGACTTTAGTTACTGCTAGGTATCTGTACTGGTCCACATTACTTATATTAATGTGTCACAGGGAGAGCCCTGCACAATGGTTTATGTCTGTAGATACAGCTACTTAAAATGCTGCAGCAGGAGGATGGCTTAAGTCCAGAGATATGAGGCCAGAATGAGCAACATAGCAAGATCCTATTTCTTAAATAAATAGAAAAGAAAAGGGCAGGGTGGGTGGGACAATATGTGTGAACTCTCCTATTAATTATTTTTGTGTACCTAAAAAACTCCAAAAATAAAGTGTATTAATTATTTAAAAAACAATTCAAGAGTAATAGATGTTAAAAAAAGCATGAATCTTTCAAGACAAGAATGAACATTTCATAATTCATATTTACCATTCTCCAGCTTGGTTGACAGAATTTAATTCTGTTACATTATACATTATAGATGGCTCCAATGAAACTTTCTCCATAAACATGGGTGAGGTTGTAATATTCTGAATCTGAGCTTCAAGAAATACTTCATCAGTCTGAGGATATGAAAGAAAATATCCACCAAAATGTGATGCTATTTAAAATATTTACCAACAAAAATATCTTATGTATATGAAGAAAATATAAACCACAAATGTGATTAGTTCATGCCTGCAAATTAAAGTTATCATAATTAATACAAGAAACCTTCATCCTAACATAATTAACAGGGGCGAAGTCAAGTGTTAGTCAACTGATACCTTGTCAAACAATGGATATGGGATAATTAGGAAATATTTTATATTACCATCCAAAAATATTTATTTAACTGGAATTTCATTCACAAAAATTCTCAATCTGCTAGTAAGGTATTTAAATGTTAAAATGAATGTTAGTATGATGAATGTGACTATATAGTAAGATAACTAGGCTTCATTATAATATTCCAGCATAATATAATTTCAATTATATTACATCAGTTTAGATAGTCTAGTGACCACTATTACCAGGAATAATCCATTTTATAATATTATAGGATTTAACTTTATAAAATTAAGAAATTTGTAGGTGGTCATTAGTGATTTCTTAATTCATTAAAAATGTATATTTAGGGGGAAAAAGAAAGAAATATGTGAATTATGCCTAATAATCTTAGAGCTTTTAAATCTGGCAAAAGTATTTTATAGCCTTAGTGGCAGATTTGAAAACTAATGTTATTCAGTAATATTGCAGTCAATAGGCAATTTAAATACTTAATTTTACACATATTTTAATTCCCTAATTTATGGAAAAATGCTTACTTTTATGTCATTTGGTTATTTTTCTCTGTGTAATTGAAAAATAAGAGACTAATTTGGTTTATCTTTGAAACAGACTAATATGATAAATTATATACTAAGGGTATTCAAGAATTATTTTTTTCAAAAATTTCATAATAATATGTATACACACACAGAAAAATAACATGTGAATTCTGATCAAAATAATTTTGCACTTCTGAAGTTTTTTTTTAACACTAAAGCCAGGAAAATGGAAATCATTTGCAAAAATATCATGATGAAGTTATAAATAAAACAAATTCTTTAGTCTGTGGGAATTATACTCAAATAAAAATATAAATACAATGATTTATCAAAACAATGCACCACTTAAGGGCATTATCTGTTACTTTTTGAAAAAAAAAAAAAATTAAATATATCCCATAAATCCATTGCTTTTTAAAAATAACCACAGACCCATATTTCAATTTAAAAAATGCAATTTTTGCATGAATTTAGGAAGAGTTTAGGTAAAATTAAAGAAAAACAAGCAGCATAATGGAAAATCAAGTTAGTTTGAACAGTTAGTATAAAGTAATTTGACATTTGAAAAATTAATAAAGTGCTAAGGCTGTTGATGTTACTACATATAGAATGTGATATAAGCAAATGCTGCTTATTATGAATAGGAAATTGAAAAAATTATTTTATCCAACTTGGAAAAATTTACTTTTCTTCTGCTTAAAGGCCATTTTTACCTGACCCAGACTTAAAACAAAAAACACTGTACATCAGAAAATGAATTTCAATTGTATAAGTCTACTTAAAGGATTGAGAATAGTAAGGTATTCTAATGTATTGAAAATCCCAGAATTATTTTAAACAAGGTTAACATGCCTTTAAAAAAATAATAAAACCTGAACAAGAAACATTAAAAATGCAAATGTTTCAATATAACAATTTAACCTCTTATATTTTCCTGCAAAATAAGACAATTGATATAAAAAGTACATTCAAAATATGTCTTTCTGAAATGACACAGGTGTTGTTCACAACTAACTGTTTTTCCACTATGTTTTGTAAAGAGGGATTAATTAGGCAGAGTCAAAAGGTGGTGAGTAAGAAAAGCATAAGTTTATAATAAAAAATCAAATTACCACAGAACTGAGGTCACTCTAATGGAAAAATAAAAAAGAAAAATTAGAGTTAAATGTTAAAGAAAAAGAATAACTTTAAAATAGAATGCATCTTTGCATTTTTTAACTTACTAAACAAGACAGCATTAGTAAACAAGAAAGTAAACAGGAAGCAACATAAATATGACAAACTTCTAAAAAGATGAAACTGCTAAGGTTACATGACAATAGAATAGAGAAGAACACTATGACTCAATATTAAACAGAAGCAAATATAGTTAAGGGCACATTTGGGGGCAGAGAGGTACATCCCCATGCTTTTCTAGTTCTATAAATTCTTACATACTTTTTATGTAATTTTTAGTAGACACTTAGGATAAGTAAATACTGAACTCTGTATTCAGCATAGATTTACAATGTACAGCTTCTCCTAAATTTATCTGATAATGGAATCCTTCTTAAAATAAATATCTTGGGTGATTAGAGCCCAGTGAATCACATTTCAGGAAATGATGGCAGCTTACACCACTCCAGACAAGTGGGAGTTTGTTCTCCTCTTGCTTACAGATTTCAGTCTTTTAAAAATCTGTATTTTTAAGCTACTTATTCATCAAATGTCATGTCCCTTCATTAAATGTGTAGCCAGCAATCATTCTTCATCTACCTCTATGTTCCCAGAGCATAAGCATACTTCATGAATGGAGTGGGGTATGTGGGAGAGGTGTTTATATTGTAAACATGTCAGTGTCCTCCATGAGATGCAAGTTCTCTGAGAATTGGGAAGATGTTCAGTTTGTATTTTTTTCTCTTTTGTACCTAGTATGGGGCTCCTTGTAACCAGCAGGTGACCAAATGTTTAAATCCTAGCTTTTAATCTCACCAATATTCTTTCAAGGTTTTCCTATCTTAGAGACTACAACAAAATTTTTCATATGACTTGTTTTCCTTTAGGTGATTCACATATTAGCATTATCAGAAACAGCTTTAAAAGAATGCTTGATACACACACGTGGAGCTAATAATAGTCAATGCACAAAGACTAGAGCACAGAGTAATAAGCATCACCTATTGATAATGGTATGGTTTACTAACTCCAAAGTCAGGGTCAGCAGAATCTGCCTCATTCTATTGACTGAACAGTATTTGTTTCCCTAACAAGTAATACCGAAAATTTTAAGAGACCCTAAATGATATTTATTCATTCTTGGTTGTTAAAAAAATATCTATTTTCAAAAGTTCAAAATTTCACTAAATATTTTTTAGCTTAAGTTTGTTGGCAAAATTTAAAGATTATGCTTATATATATATATGTAAACTGAAAAAGGCAGCAAATAAATTACTGTGATTATCAAAACAGCATAGATTAAAAGAGAATGTAAGTTAATGAAAAAAAAAACATTACTTGGTGTGGTAAAATATGGATTGTTTTCCTTTATGGGGAGCATTAACTTCTATAATATTTACACAATAACTAGCTATTGGAAAAATTACTTGCAAATCACTGAATATTAGTGTCAAAAGACTACTTGACAGGGCTGGGGATATAGATCAGTAGAGTGCTTGCCTCACATGCACAAGGCTCTGGGTTTAATCCCCAACACCTCACACACACACAAAGACAAATATTTTAAAGTAAAACATTAAAAAAAAATTTTTTATAGTTGTAGATGGACAGCATGCGTTTATTTTATTTATTTTTGTATGTGGTGCTAAGATCGAACCCAGTGTCTCACACATACCAGGCAAGTGCTCTGCCACTGAGTCACAGCCTCACCCCATGTAAAACGTTTTTAACAAAGAAAACCTAAAATATGTTTAATATGTTCTTCCTAGTGGCCAATCAAAAAAAAAAAAGTACCTCCTACAACCCCATTTGTTTTTTAAATTTTCTAACATATCTATTCTAGCAAATCCCTCATACTATGAAAACTTTTCCAGCAAAATGATAAGAGTATTTAAAATTCACCAAACTGAATAGCTATGCTCAATAGTATGCTACTGATAACAACAACAACAACAACAACAAAAAACATGGAATAAATATGTAATATCCCAATTTGCTAATCTCCAAAGAGAAATGTTAACTGGTAATCACCTTGATGAGGTTAATCCTTTTCCATTAAATACGTACCCTCTTTACCATGTACTTAACATCCTATGTCCATTGGTAACTGCTTGGAATCCCTTCACTGCTTTGACATATGTCTGTGCCCAACAACCATTTCTTCCAGACTTTAGTTCCCCTTTTCTTCCATAAAGCTTCTTTTCAGACTATTCCAAGTTCTCAATTTGTAGCACACGTGCTTATATTGTAGCACGTTTATACAATTCTCATTTTAGATTTACTATGTACTATTCTAGGAAGATTGGTTATTACGTGTATTTTTCTTCTTCTTTTCTCCTAATAGGCCTTTGCAGCAGGTTAGGGTCCTTAACTTTGACAGGAAAGCAATTGAAATGCTATATTGAGTAATTCAAATGCTGTACTGAGTAAAATCTCCAGTGCTTCTGGTAAAAATACATATCAAACTTAACATGACTGCAAATGTCTAATCATCATCTGGTTTTAAAGTAATTAATAAACATAATCTGCATTTTAAACTACTGTATTTAGATATATATTTATCTTTTTCTTTTTGGTACTGGGGATTGAACCCAGGGGTATTTTATCACTGAGCTACATTCCCAGCCCTTTTTATTTTGAGACAAAATCTATCTAAGTTGCTTAGAACCTAAGTTGCTGGGCTGGCTTTAAGCTAGGGATCCTCCTGTTTTCTGAGTTACTAAGAATACGTGTTTTTGCCACCAGACCCTGGCTGGATATTTTTGAATTTATCACTGATAAATTCAGTGAGGTAAAAGGGCTGTCAAGAGACTTTTGTATAGCTCTAGAAGCTACAGTAGAATTCTTTGGGGGAAAAATCCACACAATAAATCCTTTCACATATGGCAAAGTCTATTTTCTCTCTTTTGTTAGGCTACAACGTAGATTATTTTCTATTCTAAGTTTTAACTACTTTCTCTATTTTTGCCAAACTCGGTTCTCCCAAGGAGCTTTTAAAGCCATCCAGCAGACTCAGCAACCCAACTCTGGCTGGCACACTGACTTTCCAGGGAAGAATTTAATGTGCTGTGTTTTACTTGTCAATATTTTCCCACAGAAATATTAAATCTAGATCTACTATTTCAATTTTTGTAATGTCCAGAACCACACTATTAAGTATTCTACAGATTGTTAGCGTTTTTAAGCAATAGCAATACCATTAAATGGAATTATATAGCAGTCACTTAATGAAGGGGTAAAGGTCTTACAGAATTAATTATGAGATTAGAAATCAAGAAACATTGCTTACATGCAGGCTGAAACAGCAAATTAAGAGACCTATCATTGAAATTTAAATTTTAATTGAAATTTATGCTCATTTTTCACAAATAATTTAGTCTTACCAACAATTTAATGTAAAAAGAAATGCAATAACCTCATGTTTCCAATGTTATTTTAATGATTAACTTGAAATCTCATTAGGTGTCCAACACTTACCTCTGCATTGTAAAATTTGGTTTTCACATCCAATGGTTTGAGAACCTGGTTACATAAAGCATATTAATTAGGAAATTCTTATCATTTGAGTATTTTTGTTTGTTTTAAATTACAGGGTTTACACTTGTCAAAGCCATTTCCCATCTGAATTGTTAAAAAGACTTCTTAGTAGGTAAGCAATATTCTTGGGAAAAAAAAAATCCCCAATGTATTTTTTTGAAAGGCTACCATTATTTCTTGACTGGGTGATAATGATATGGCTGTTTACTTCAAAACATTTTGTTAAATCAAAAATATATTTTAGGGCTGAGGTTGTGGTTCAGCAGTAGGGCGCTCGGCTAGCACATGTGAAGCCCTGGGTTTGAACTTCAGCACCACATAACAATTAATAAAATAAAGGTATTAAAAAAAAATAAATTGCTTTAAAAAAACATATCTTAAGGGCTGGGATTTTGGCCTAGTGGCAGAGCGCTTGCCTCTTACATGTGAGGCATAAAAATAAATAAATAAAAAATATTGTGTCCATCTACAACTAAAAAAAAAAAATAAAAAAACGATTTTATGTACTGTACATTTTAATATTATATATAACAAAAACTATAAAAAAGTAACTGAAACTTTTAATTTTCTTTTAAAAGGCATGTAAATTACTGATGCAGTAAAACAATGACAAAATAGTTTTTCTAGCAATAGTACTTTTTCTTGCAATTATAGAGGAATAAAAAAATACAAACCATCATATCTACACCTGCACTTAAATATCTATTAGTGATATTTTCATTTCACCATCCGCACATATGTGTTAAACTGTAGTTTTTATCTATTTTTGGAGGTCGTTGAAAGTTTTGTCTTAATACAATATTGTACTTAAAATTCCAGTGATTCATGAACCCCTTGAAGGAAGGTTGATCCACTCACCTCAAGTGAATAATCTCTCATTTAAATATTCCTTTAGAAATTTAACACTACTCACACTCATCGTATGTGGACTTGACTCTTAACTTATCCCTCTTTTAGATTCTTCTGTGTTTTTCCAAGACATGAAAACAAGCTATTTTTCTTTGGAAAAAATCTCTTTCATTATAATAACTCTACACTGGCAACACTAATTTCTCTGCCTTTATTCAACTTAATTTGGTCTGACTTCAGATTAGTAGTAACACCACAAACCCAAGAAGTGAAATATTTGATTTATTTGAAGCTTATTTTCTCTCCAGATAAGTAGAATTACTACACTTCTAGGAAGATAAAAAGTACCTAAAAAGTAATTTATCATTGTCATACTCAATACCTGAAATTTGAAGAATTTTCTAAAGTACATTTTTTCTCCACCCTGAGTTGTGTAACTCACAGCACACACCAGGCTGAAAAAAAAACAAAACGTTTTAATGGTATAGAAAATTTTATCTTATTTCTTAATAGTAAATCTAACACACCTCAATTCTACTTTACAAATATGAAAAACATTTATATCTGTGGTGTGAAACTGTAGCCAAATGAAATTAGAGCAGGAAAATAAAAAAGTTCTAGCAGATGTGGATATAAACATATGAGCAAGATAGCTCTGATTAGTAAAGGGAAACAGCATTTTTGGAGTAGGAAGTCAAACACTTTTTCTTGGAAACGTGAAATATATTCTAAAACAAATCTCAGAATAGTCCTCCTACACTTGAAAGTAAAAGATTAAATTCATATAAACTAGAAACAAAAGAATTTTAAAAGAAATTCTAGGATAGACATTTTAACATAAATGGTTTTAAATGAAATAAATCAAAAATGCTAAAACAAACACAATAAAGAGAGGGAGGGAAGAATAGAAGTTTACCGTATTAGACAAAGGGGAATGAAGGGAAGGGAGGGGAGATGGGAATAGGAAAGGACAGTAGAATGAACTGGACATAATTTTCTTATGTTCACATATGAATACAGGACCTGTGTAACCCCACATCATGTACAACCACAAGAATGGGAAGTTACACTCCATGTATTTATGTCAAAATACACTCCACTCTGAGTTGTGTAACTCACAGAACATACCAGGCTGAAAAAAAAATTTTTTTTAATGGTATAGAAAAATTTCTCATGTATATATAAATGAACAAATGAAAACAACCAAACAAAAACCATTAAAACAATGAAAGAAGAGACAACAACTTGGGATAAAATATTTATAAAAATATATGAAGATGATTAGAATGTTAATACACAAAGGGTTGTTTTAAGTGAATAAGCAAAACACTATCTCACTCAGAATATAAGAAAAGGCACACAGATATATTGGCTAACAAAAATATAAAAAATGTTTAAAATGTAAAAATAGTTAAGCAAAACAATGATATATATTTTTTAACTATCACGATTTAGCAAGAATTCTTTATAAGTGATATCAAGTCTGGTGAGGGTTTATAGAAACTGAATCTTTACATTGTTCGTGGTTGTAAAGAACTTATTTTTTAAGGTTTTTAAAAATTGGTGCATTAAAATTATATATAATGATGGGATTCACCATTACATATCCATACATGCACACAATATTATAATTTGGCTAAAAAAAGTAACAAAAAAAATTTGGCTGATATCATTCCCCACGTATTTCCTTTCCTTCTCTTCTTCCCTCCTCCTGCTTCCTTTCTTAACTCTACTGGTCTTCCTTCCATTTTCATGAGACTATCGTATTTTTCTCTATAGCTTCTCTGTAGAGAAAAATATGACCTTTTACTTTCTCAATTTGGCTAATTTTTGAGTAACAAAAAGTTCCGTCCATTTTTCCTGAATAATTTCATTCTTACTGGCTGAATTGTATGTGTGTGTGTGTGTATATATATATATATATATATATATACACATATATATATGTACATATACACATGTTTATACATACATGCATACCATATTTTCTTTATCCACTCAGTGACAGAAACATGCTGGTTCCATATTTGGACATTGTGAATTGTGCTGCTATAAACATGGACATGCATGTATTGTCATAGTATGCTGTCTTTAATTCCTTAGGATAAATATTGAGGAAAGGTATTTCTGGGTCATATAGTGTTTCTAGACTTTGGAGGAACCTCCATATGATTTCCTCCTTAGTGGTTGTATTAATTTACAGTTCCAACAACAGTGTAAGTGTTCCTTTTCCTCCATATTCTCTCCAGTATTTGTTATTGTTTGGGCTTTTGATGGGTGCCATTCTTTTTTTTTAATATTTATTTTTTAGTTATAGTTAGACACAATACCTTTACTTTATTTATTTACATGTGGTGCTGAGATCGAACCCAGGACCTTGCACGTGCCAGGCAAGCACTTTACCACTGAGCCACAACCCCAGCCCCTTGATAAGTGCCATTCTAAGTGGAGTGAGATAAAATTGCTAGTTTTGCTATGCACTTCTCTAATTGCTAATAATGTTGAACATTTTTCATGTATGTGTTGGTTATTTGTATTTCTTCTTTTGGGAAGTGTCTGTTTAGTTCATTGGCCCATTGATTAACTAGGCTATTTGTTTTTAGTGTTTTTTGAGTTCTCTATATATTCTGGATATTAATCGTCTGCTAGAAGAACATCTAACAAAGATCTCCATTTTGTGGACTTTCCTCACATTTTAATTCTTTTTGCTGTGCAGAGGCTTTTTAATTTGATACCATCACATTTATTAATTCTTGGTTTTATTTCCTGAGGTTTAGGAGTCCTATTGATGAAGTTGTTGCCTGTACCTATATGTTAATGTTGACCCAATACTATCTTCTAGGAGTTTGATAGTTTTTGGTGTAAGTCCCAGGTCTTTGATTCATTTTGAGTGACTTTTGTACAGGAGGAGAGACAAGAATCTAGTTTCATTCTTTTACATATGGATAACCAGTTTTCCCAGTAATATTTGTTGAAAAAAGCTGTCTTTTCTCCAATGTATGTTTCTGGCACCTTTGTCAAGAATCAAATGACTGTATCTATGTAGGTTTGTCCCTGTGTCTTCTCTTCCACTGTCTGTGTGTCTATTTTTTATTCCAGAATTATGCAGTTTTTGTTACTATAGATCTGAAGCATATTAGAATTGTATTGGCTATCTTTTATTCTTCCAAATAAATTTAGGACTGTTTTTCTAGTTCTGTGAAGAATGTATTGGTAATTTTGATGGAGACTGCATTGAATATGTATATTGCTTTTGGTAATATATGGTCATTTTAACAATATTAATTCTGCCTATCCATAAACACAGGAAGTCTCTCCATCTTTTTGTGTCTCCTTCAATTTCTTTCTTCAGTGTTCGGTAGTTTTCATTGTAGAAGTCTTTTATCTCCTTGGTTAGATTTTGTTCATAGTTTTTTTTTTTTTTTAGGCTGAGAATGGGATTGCTTTTTTCCCACATTTCTTTCTCAGCAGAGTCATTGCTGATGTATAGGAAAGCTACTGATTTTCGTACACTGATTTTGTAACCTGCTACTTTGCTGTATTTGTTTATTAGTTCTAGCAGTCTTATGGTGGTTGTAAGGAACTTAGAAAACAATCTATGCGTAAAGAGCCTTAAAAATGCTTATATGTTCCAACAGAAACACACCTCGGGTAATCATAAGGAAATATTAAAGTACTAAATACTATGTTATTCATCAGTGAAAAACTGATAACAATTTAAATGACCAACATTAGGGTAAACAAAGCATAGCATTCCAATGCAGTCATTAAAAGAGTATGTTTTGGGGGTGTGACTATAGCTCAGTGGTAGAGCACTTGCCTAGATGTGAGGCACTGGGTTTGATCCTCAATACCACATTAAATAAATAAATAAATAAATAAATAAAGGTATTGTGTCCATCTACAACTAAAAAAAAACAAAAAAACTTTTTAGAAGGCATGTTTTCAAAGAACACTGACTGATGTGGAAAAATGTTCACAGTGAATTGAAAAGAATAAAATCCTGAATAATATAAAAATTTTGTAAAATATTATTTAAATTACTTACATGTATTTGTTTATACACATATGAAAAGACTGAAAAGAAATATTAATATTTTAATAATTCTTGTATTAAGTGAAAAATTATTAGATAATTTGATTTCTAAATTAGGACTATGCCAGGGGCTAGGGAGCAAATTGATCGAAACACAACACCTAACCTTAAATACTTACAGTGGGAAGTACTGTAGCAGGGACAGGTTTTGAAACTAGATTCAGATTTGAGTTCTGTTTTCTAAACTAGCTGTTTAATTTTACAAGAGTCTCATTTTCTGTAAAATGGGGATTTAAACATTTATCATCATTTTCATAAATTCAATTTTACAAATATTGACCACTGTTTTCTTCCAGATCCTGGAAATATAGAAGATTTCATGGACTTCATATTTTAATAGGAAAAGTAATACTCAAGTATGTATGAAATACTGTAAGTATGAAAGATGTTAAAAATTTATTAGTTATATATAAAGGTCATAAATGTCAGGAAAGTCTCTTTTAGGAAATCATGTTGCTGAGATAGGAAAAAAAATTAAATATAAATTATACAAAATGTCATTGGCATTCCTTTATAAGGGAATACATTTCAAGACATGGATTTGGAGGTGAAAGATGTCCACATGATTGCAATGCAGAGAAAGTGAGAAGGGTGACAAAAGGTTGGTAAGGATTAGGTTGTGAAGCTTTCTGAAAAACATACAAAGTTAGAATTTCCAAAAAGCAACAAGAGGTCATTAAAAATGTAAATGATGACATAATTAATAAATGATGGCTCAGAAATTTGAACTTCAGGAAATTTGACTCCAAATTTTATACTAATCACAGACTCTATAGTAAAAAGTGCCTACCACAGAGCTTGTCATCAAAATTAACTGACCTAATAGCTATTATACATATTTAATATTAGCTGTATTATGTGTTTTAATGAGCATTGAGAAGGAAAAGGAATAATGAAATAGAGAAGAAATGAAGCAGATAAATGAGAAATATTTAGAAGTAATAGGAATGCATGAATTCACTGGATATGGGAGTGCTAAAGGAGACAGAGAACTCTAAAATTACTTCATATGGCTGAAATATTCCTATTTGTCTTTTAGACTGAAAGAAAAAGAACATTCACATTCAAATATATTCACAGGTCAACAATACAAACTTTGAGATAATTTTTCACGGCTTTGTCTCACTTTGGTTCTATATTTCTGAATTCTCAGGGGAGAGTATGCATACCCAGTTAAATATAGAAATGAAAAATGTGAATTTAAAAATAAACACCATGCTAACATTTTTAAAAGATTACAAATGTAAGTTTAAACGTGCTAACTAGGTTTTAAATATGAACTTGGCTTTTCTTTTTTTAAGATTGTAGATGCAAAAATGAAGCCAGAGATAAATGATAAACTAGATTTTCCCCCTACAAATATTTTGTTTAAAGTTAGTTTTGGTAAGTATGCAAATATGAAACATAAAATTCCTTTGGAAGTGGGTTCTTAGAAGGTTAAACAGAAAGCAAAAATCTCAAATAAAGGCATAAGTAAAAGCCAAATGGTAAAATATCCTTACATGTGTGTTCCAATTTCCTTAACTTCATGGTGTATGACATCATCAATACAACAATCAGGTTTAAGTTCAGCCACTGCAGCATTGGAAGCTGAAAGATTTAAACGCTGAGAACTTGTCTGAAGGTCAGCCTTGGAAGAAAGAGGTATAAAAAATATCCAGATGAGACTGGTTACCTTTTGTGTGGATGGATCTGGATGGATATGAGTGGAAAGAAAAGTGGGGGAGTAAGAACAAAGAAGTGGGGATGAAGAGCAAGCAATATTTTTCTCTGTAAACCTTTCTGCACAGTTCTGATGCTTATAACTAAGGCAAGTGTATGTACTTACACACACAGAGAAAGCCCAAAAATACAAAACAAAACAAAACAAAACAAAAAAAACAACAACCAGGAATTAGGGAAAATCCAAATGAAATACAAATAGTAACATGTGAGCCTACCTGTTTTAAAATTGTACAATGTAAACACACGAAAATGAAGAGGAGAAAAAAGAACTAATGAAAGTAAGTTTGGAAAACAAAATCTTAACTATAGTCAAGATAAAAGGAAAATGATACGTCAATGTTGTACTTGGCCAGCACATTTTTTTTTCCCCCATAGGGATATGAGGTAACAATATGCAACTTTTTATGTATATACTAGAACTAAAAAAAAAAAAGTATACATATTATGGATAACAAGAGACAGATTTCTTATCTTTAGAGAAAAACGGTAGAAATAAGGAAAGGGGGAAGGCTACAATGAAACCTTTTGTATTAGATTAGAATTTGAAGCATCAACATGAACTTAGGGTTTTTAAACATATATACAAATGAACTTAGCCAAAATAAATATATTGTGTTTATATATGAATATATAATACTAAAAATAATTCAAAACAATATTTGATATGAGAGACCAATTAAGTTAAAGGAGAACTGAGTGACATTAAAGTCATCAACTAAGGAAGTACTGCCTTCTCTAAAGTAGCACTTTACTTCCATCCAGTTACTTTCTATGATATTCTCCCCTTTTCTTTTCTTTCTTTTTTTTTTTTTTTTTTTAGTTGTTGATGGATCTTTATTTATTTGTTTACATGCAGTGCTGAGAATTGAACACAGTGCCTCACACGTATTAGGCAAGTGCTCTACCACTGAGCCACCCTAGCACTATCCCCTTTTCTTAACTTTTGGACATGTAGCACTCTAATTGTCTTAAATAGCAGCCTCCCTTAATCTCAGTTACTGCCTGTCACTTTCAACTTTTATTTCTTTTTAACAGTTATCACAACATCTAATTACTTTATTTAGGATTTTGTTTATCTCTTTCTGTCTCACCTACCAGAAATGTCTTTGGAACCTTTTGTCTTTTCTTGCTCAGAACTATAGCATAGGCAATTAATAAATATTTGTTGACTACCAAATGCATAAATTAAGTTGTGATAAAACTTCAAGGCAAATATCAAGAAAATTCAGAGGATGTAAAGATCACATTAGGTTATAGAGATTCGTGTAGGCTTTTACATAAGAGTTAGGAATTTTTTAATGATTTTGTTTCTTTAAGAAAACAGTTGTTGCAGTTAATTCTAATTTAAAATTCTTAATGTTAGTCATTTTGGAGTAGGATATTTACTAATGCTGTCTCTTATTATGTTCAATTATAAAATAGTAGTAGCTCTATTTATCAGGCACTTACTAGGTACAAGGCCCTATTCTAAGCACATTACTTAAGTAACCCTCACAATCCTGAAGTAAGTAGTATCATTCCTATTTTATAGACAATGAAAAAGAGGGCAGAGAAAAGTAACAACTTTCCCAAGATTATACAACTAGTCAACAATGAAGCTGAGATTCAAAATTTCTTAAAATGTTTTCAAAATTAGAGGGGGGAAAAAAGAGAGAAATACTTAAAACCAACTGGCTGGCTACCCAATGTTTTCCTATGAGTTCTCCCAATACACATTTTCCTATGCCATTTTTTGTTAACCATAACTACAGTTATGTTATGTATGTTATTTATGACTGAACACTTTTGTCTTTCTCCTTTGTTACTATTATAAATAATGCTGTACTGAATATTTATGTTAGAGAGCCAGTTCTAGGAGTTGGAGATATATCAGTGGACACCCTGACCCTATTTGTATTCTTTGGAAAGGAGGTAAAGAGGACAACTAACAATATACAACTGAGTACATTATTATAGTATATTAGAAGTACAAGTCTGGGGAGAAAAGAAGTAGGGTAAAGAGTAAAGGGCTGGCTTGGGGTAGAAAAATGCAATTTAAATTGCAGGGTAGTTTTCATGCTGCAAATTGGTTTTTTGATGGATAGGATTTGAATAGGCAAGAAAAAAGGGGGAAGGGAGTAAGATGAACAGAGTTAGCAAAACACAGGCATGAAAGCATAAGATATCTTCAGAAGTCATCAAGATTTTGGTTAAGGGAATATAGAATGTTCAGGAACAGAAAAGACTACTTTAAAACATCTTGAATAAGCTTCAAGACAACAGAGAAGTCTTCTCTTTTTTGTTTCCTACTGTAACTGTAGTATCTAAAATTATGCTAAGCATATCTATTTGTTGAATGAATGTGTGAATGAGAAGTAGTTCTCTAAGTCTGGTTCCCAGACCAATAGAATCAGTATCACTTGAAAATAAGTTACAAAAATAAACTCTTGGGCACCATTCCAAATCAAATGAATAAAAAAATTTAGGAATGGGGCACAGAGGGTTTTAACAAACTCTCCAGATGATTATGATGCCTTCTAAAATTTGAGAACCAAGAGAGAGAACCTAAGAGCTACTTACTATTTTTTATTTATAATACACTAATTACCCTGTTTTTTGAACACCTTTTTGGTAGTGCATTAAGGCTTTCAGATTTATACTAAGATATTTTAGAAAATAAAAATGAACTAATGGTTTCCAGTGATATCACAGATAGCATACGCATTTGTATTCTCAAAATATGAGATGACAGCAAAGGAATAAAAAATGCAGTCTCAATCTTTTATTCATAATTACAAAATTCAAGGAGCTATACAAAATTAAATTGTTGAGGGCAATTCGTATTTACCTCAAGTGTAAATATGAATCTCCCAAGATATCCTCAGAAAAATAAAAAAGAATAAAACTATAAAAAGCTTATATTAAGCTGGGCATGGTGGTGCATGCCTATAATCCCAGCGGCTCGGGAGGCTGAGGCAGGAGAATAGCAAGTTCAAAGCCACCTTCAGCAACTGTGAGGCGCTAAGTAACTCAGTGATACCCTGTCTCTAAATGAAATGCAAAATAGGGCTGGGGATGTGGCTCAGTGGTCGAGTGCCCCTGAGTCCAATCCCTAGTACCAAAAAAATAAATAAAGTATTGTGTTCATCTAAACTGAAAAAAAAAAAAAAAAAAGAAAACTTATATTAGTGTAACTAGAAGGCAGCAAATGTCTCAAATTCATTTTCTGGGTAAGCAGAAAAATATCAAATCCTTATGGTCTTGTAGTGAGCAATATACAAACAAGATGAGAACTTAAAAACCCGGGGGTGTAATATGGAGAAGAGAAAGAGAAAAGTAGCATAACCAACAGGTAAGAGTTAAAGGACATTATTAAAAACTAAAAGCCCTATAGTGAGAAGCTAAGTAAGAAAACAGAATCGGGGAGGCAGGCATTGAGCGTTATAAATACTAAGATTAAAAACTAGAACAAAACCATAAAACTTCATAACACCAAAAGATATTAAAAACAATAAATACACAATAGAAATGAGAAAAATTAATATAACATACTTAATATTTACAATATAAAATAATACAACACAATTGAAATCAAGCACATCAAACTTATCAATACATATGAATGGGCTTAAGTCATCTATTAATAAAATTTGTCACTCAACTATATGTTATACACAAGAGACACAATTCAAAATTATTTGAAATAAATAAAAATAAAAGAAGATGGGCAAAAGGCATACCACACAAATGGAAACAGTGAAAAAGCAAGGGTAAAGATATAGTTATCACAAGATTCAAGCCAAAAAGCATGAAATATGGCCAAAGAGGATATAACCCAGGGGTGCTTTAACACTGAGCTACATTTCCAGACCTCTTTATTTTTTATTTTAAGAGAGGGTCTCACTAAATTACTTAAGGCATTGCTAAATTACTGAAGCTTTCCTTGAACTTGTAATCCTCCTGCCTCAGCCTCCCCAGTCTCTGGAATTACAGGTGCGTGCCATTGCACCCAGCCAACATAGCCTTTTTAAAGCAAACTACATGAAATTTAAGGAGATATAAATAGAAATGCTATTTCTATTTATATTATATACTAACAATATGAGATAAATGTCACTTTTACTGGCAAGATAGATCAGGATGACAAAAAAGAAAAGATATAAATGATCTAAACAACACAATCAATAAAACAGGTCTTATGAATATATGTATCTAGCTTTACAACCAATAATAAAGAAGGAAACTTCTCAAATACACATGGAAAAATTCATTTAAAAAAATAAATATTCAGTCAAAGAAAGCATCAGCCAATTCCATGAATATAAATATTACAAGAATGACACTGATTACAATGTAATAAAACTAGAAATTATTAATAAGAATTAAAATAGGAAAACGTAGGCTTTTTCTCTGAAAACCCTTCCAATAAACAACTCTTAGGTAAAAGAGGAAGGACAGGGCTGGGGCAATAACTCAGCCCTACCTTGCGTGTGTGAGCCACTGGGTTCAATACTCAGTTCCACATAAAGATGAAGAACAAAAGTAATCATAATGAAAATACTTTGTAACAGAATCTGTACGATATATCTAAAACAGTGAACCAGAAAAAAATTCATTTTATCAACAAAAATAAATGGGTTAAATCTCCAGTGAAAGAAGGAAAAAAAGAAGAAAATAAATAAGCAGAAACATAAGAAAGAAAATAAAGTCAAAAGCAAAAATTACTGAAGTAGAGAACAGAAAAACATTTGATGTAATTTAAGTATTTTTTTTTTAAATATACAAACCTAAAGCTATCTGACTTGGGGACAAAAAACCAACAAAAATAGGAAATGATCAGGGGCAAGTAACATTTAAATAGAAGAAATTTTTAAGAGATGATTTTTCACACTTCTATGTCAATAAATTTGAAAATCTACATTAATATTTTTTTCTAGAAAAATGGCTTCACAAAATTTACACTATTAGAAATAGAAAACTTTTAAAGAGACTAGGGAAAAAAAGAAAATGTTACAAAGGCGTTTCCCCACAAAACAGCAACAACTCACATGATTCTGCTGTTGCATTCCGTAAATCCTTTAAAGAGCAGATACTATAAATGATCCCCATATTGCTACTAAACACTGAAATAAAGTAAAATTTCCTAAATGTTTTACTAAGCAACCATAATACTGATATCTAAAATCTTATAAAAACATAAGAAAAATGCAGACCAACATCATGCTGTGTGTCCTGACATACATTCTCCTATGAATTTAAATGGCTTATGCATATATGAATTGAATCTAAGCAGACCTCTGGTTGATACTGCATTGCTCAATAAATAGCTATTCTTTTTTTTTTGAATTTTTAGTTTTATGTTTCAGTTGTTGATAGACGATTATTTTATTTATTTATATGCAGGGCTAAGAATTAAACCCAAAGGGCTAAAATCTTAAGCTGGCTTTCAAAATGGTATACTGTATAGCTAGTAAACATCTCTACCACATTATCTCCTCTTACAAGTGAATTTTGCTTGCTGCTAAAAGGAAACATTATGTATCCCCCTATGCCTCTGCCTCTGATAAACATGTCTTCTACTTTTTCCTCTAAATGCTACTATTCTTTCAACATCCTTTTGCTTTCCCTTTCTTCTAATAAGCCTTCCTGATTGAAACAATACCCAGTGATCTTTCTTCCTTGTTCAAATATTATGTTAATCAGATATAGTAACAAAAACTTGAAACCATTATTTACCTTTGACTAGTTATTTTCTTATCCAAGACATCACAAACTTTGAGGATGAGAAAATATGTGTGTGTGGCATAATGTCATTTTAGTGTAGAGCATAATGTCATTAGATATCCATCAATACTTGATAATGACAACTAAAAATTCTAATATCAAACCTACATTTTAATGAAGTCTAAAAATCACAGGAGAGAAGCCGGGCATGGTGGTGCACACCTGTAATCCCAGCAACTCGGGAGACTGAGGCAGGAGGATGGTAAGTTCAAGACCAGCATCAGCAATTTAGCGAGACCCTGTCACTAAGACCCTGTCAAAATAAAAGAAAAAAGGGCTAGGAATATGGCTCAGTGGTTAAGTGCCCCTGGGTAAAATCACATTATCAAAAAGAAGACTTTTTTAAAACAATAAAATATAACCCAAGCAAGAATGTTCAAGAATATTACTTACTTTTACCAATATGTCTTTTACAATTTGATTGCTATCGTTATGAACGCTGATATAACTGGAAAAGGTCTCTCCCAAGAATATATTTCTGTGAAATGAAATACAATTTTAAGCAGAAATTCATTCAGGTTTTATTATAAATTTCAAGATTTTAGTCAATAACCACATTCTATTTTGAGTATCACAAGAAACCTCAGATGGAAAAAATTTACTAATGGATACAGAAATCAGGTGAACTATTGCTTCAACATTCCTTTATTTTTATTAGATTACTCATTCATTACCTAGTCTATTTCAAAATAAAACATGGTATGCTGGGTGCAGTGGCACATGCCTAGAATCTGGAGTATTTTTGTGAAATTATTTCACTATTCTAATAAAAGTGACCAGTGGCTTTACTCTATATAGTTTTATATTTTTACATGAATATATTCTCAAGTTTTCAAGATATTAGTCAATAACCACATTCTATAAGTCTTAAAAAATAAAGACAAAATGCTCCTTTTGTCTTAAAATTTCTAGTTGCAAATTACTACCCCATCAGTAATCCAGGATAAGAAAATACTTAAGAACAAGAAAATAAACAAAAAATTCAGAGTTCCTAATTAGGTGACAAGTCTAATAACTTCTGTTGGGAGAGGGCTATAGGGTGAAAAAGACATTCAGATCAAATTAGTTAAAAATGAAAGAAATATATCGTCATTATAAAATACAATTAGGATTTTCTTTCCTTTCTTTTTGGCAGCACTAGTGATTGAACCCAGGACTTTGTGCACGTCAGGGAAGCAGTATACATCCTGGGCCCTAAAATACAGTAAGAGCTAAAGAAGAAAGTTAAAATGCTAACATCCTAAGAAAAACTAGTAACATATTTTAATATGTACCTCTTTTTTTAAAAAAAGAAAAAAAAGAGAAAGAAAACTAGAATCACATAATATAATTTTTATCACTTTTTCCCACTAAATGTACTTTAAACATTTTTCTATTGCATAGTTATATTTGAAAACATGATTTGTAACGTTCTTTAAGGTATTGTTGCATGTTTCATGTGAATGTATCATTTTTACCCGAAATTTTGAGGTAAAGTCAACATTTCTCCCAACATTAAAATTTCTGCACCACGTACAGTTGAAGGATCATCTCTCATCAGTTGGTTGAAGAGATCTCCTGTAGCAAGAGAAAAAACAGAAAGTTCTAACATCTTATTTATTTATTTATTTATTTATTTTTTAGGTGTAGATGGACATAACACAACCTTTATTCTTATGTGGTGCTGAGGATCGAACCCGGGTCCCACCTATGCTGGGTGAGCGCTCTACCACTGAGCCACAATCCCAGCCCTAACATCTTTTAAATAAGTTTTACCTATATAAAGAAACAGTTGGAGGCCTGGGTACAGCTTAGTGTAGACTGCTTGCTTAACATGTGTGAGGCCCTGAGTTTAATCCCAGCTCTGTAAAAAGACAAAAAGAAGAAGTAGTTGGAAGAAACATTTAAAATAAACAATTCTGCCAGACATGGTGGTGCATGCCTGTAATCCCAGCTATTTGGGAGGTTAAGAAAGAATGATCATAAGTTCAAGGTCAGCCTCAGAAACTTAGTGAGACCCTGTCTCAAAAAATAAAAAGGATCAGGAAAGTGTGCCTGGGTTCAATCCCTAGTACCGAAAAATAAATAAAAAAATAAAAATAAATAGAGGGCTGGGAATGCAGCTCAGAAGTAGAGCACCCCTGGGTTAATCCTCAGTACTAAAAGAAAAAAGAAGAAATTATATATTAAAAATCTGATTTTTAATCTTTTAAAAATGACACAATATTTATACTTATTTATGAGGTACTGTGTTGTAATTCAATATGTATATAATGTGTAATGTCATTTCTAATCTTTAATAAAGCATAGCATGTAAAATATCTGATCTTACAGAATGAACACTTAGAAACAAAGGAAAATATAGGTCATAAATTATGATATGCTATATAAAGCACCAATAATTCTTTATAAAAAGAATCCGACACTGATAGAAAACCTGAGGGTAAAGGCAATATTTTAATAATGTTATGAATATGGATGTATCTTTGTTTAAACTAAAATAAAAGTGTCTTGTTATCATAGGTTACCAATAGTACCTTGACTTGTAGATCATACATGAGGCCTGTTTCTCAGAAGGCCACCATTGGTCACATGGTACAAAACAGGCAACAAAGAATCCTTTGAAGGATTAACACAAGACTGCCAAGGCTACTCTTACTGCAAGATAATGTAGGCAACCCAGGCTCAACTTCTCCTTAGGTGCAAACAGGTTAAGCACATGCTATACATACCAGGTAAGTCTTTCTCTTCACATGTTACTGGAATATTGGTGAATAAAGTAGGCTTAGTTAACCGCATCACTGTGAATTAAGAAAGTAAACAAAACATTAATATTGTTTTGGGCTAATATTCTCAAATCTAATGTATAATACTCATTAATTTTATGCTAACATAAAATATAATTTCAATATACTTCCTAAGATTACCAATCATTTTAAAAAACATTAAAATGAAATAAAAATTTTACATAAAAGAGTAATTTTTATTTGCAAATTATGCATTCAAGATTGTGAATCCTGGATTAATTTTTGGCATTTAAGTTAAAGTGAATCACTACATAGGAACTCATCTTGGAAATTTTCAAAATATTATATGAATTGACAAGTTGGCAAATGAAATTAGTTAGGATCAGGACAGAAGTAAAAAACAATAGTAAAATGTGCACAACTTGGATGCCCTCCACATTATCTTTTTCCTTTGAATTTGACCTAATATTTATTTGAAAGTAAAGACAGGTAAAGAGGGAAACACAAAATTATGGTACTACTGCCACTCTCCTAGAGAGTAAATGCTAATCCCTAATATATTTCCATGTCTATGGCTTAGGAGTGGAAACCAGAAATAGTACTGGGCCCTATGTTAGTGCTAGAATCACTAGTGACAATCTAAATATTCTAAAAAGGTTTCAAAGAAATAATGGGCTCTAAATTCTTAGGCCTTAATTACTTAAGTATTGTCCATGTAAATGAGAAGTTAATCATTTTTTAATATCACTGTACTATTTGAGCTAAAACTCATCTTTAATTTCCCAGTTTTGAATTTTATTGTTTTTCTGAGGGGCAGAAAGCAATTTACCTAGAAAAAATTAGAAAAATTTAAATTTCTACATATGAAGATGTTCTTTTTTTTTTTTTAAGAGAGAGAGAGAGAGAGAATTTTAGTTTTTGTGTTTTTTTTAGTTTCTTCAGCGGACACAACATCTTTGTTTGTATGTGGTGCTGAGGATCGAACCCGGGCCGCACGCATGCCAGGCGAACACGCTACCGCTTGAGCCACATCCCCAGCCCCTGAAGACGTTCTTTTAAATGTGTGATTCTTAGATTAAAAAACTGTTCATAAGAATCGCATGATTGTACATTTTTAGTTCTATGTATAATCAAAAACTGAATCAAAAAAGTGTCATGATTACCTAACTTTTAACACTTAATTAGCAACCCTGTGCATTAAAAAAAAAACAAAAACAAACAAACAAACAAAAAACCTGAAGAACAGAAATCAAATGCTCAATATCAACCAACTTTTATTTCAAGCTCATTGGCGATTCTAAACTTCTAGGAAGTTTCTCTGGGAATTTCAATGAAGAGAAAGATGATGAAATGAAAGAGGAAGAAATCACAGAAGTTGTCTTGAAGACATCTTTTTTCAATTAATGACTTTTGGAGGCATTCATTCACACGATGCTTATTTTCTAAACAAGGGTCTCATTTGAGACAGTAAAAAGGAAAATAAAAACAAAACAGTATTTAGACAGAATGAAATCTATCAAGAAAAGTTTGTCTCTTTAGTTAAAAATTAGTGGACTTCTTGTGTTTTAAACATTATTGTATCATAATTCAGGCTATTAACAGTCCCTCCAAAAGGCACGTTTACCATGCATTATCAAGTTCCTACCATGCTGGACACGTACTATAAAGCAAAAGCAAACACATTCATCTTTCTAGTCTTACTAGTTATTCTCACGGAGATGGTTTGACAGAATGGTAACTCAGTACAAGCTCTTTGAGGGATGGTCCATAATTGTCTTCCTTACTATATCTAACAACCTAGCCCAAGGTAGGCATTTGCATTTCTAAATACATATTTATATGCTTCTGTAGAATTTTTATTCTATTCATCACTTTGGATATTTTCATGAGGTGATATATAAACTCAATAACATTCTGCTTATAGAAAACTTAAAATAACTCTAAAAACTAGCGAAATAAGGGGCTGGGGTTGTAGCTCAGTGGTAGAGTGCTAGCCTAGCACATGTGAAACACTGGGTTTGATCCTCGGTACCACATGAAAATATATAAAATGAAGGCATTGTGTCCATCTACAACTAAAAAAATTTGTTAAGAAATTATATTAAAAAATAGCCAACTAATACGTCAGCATTAATAGTAAGACTTAATTACTGAGGTTGTGTTTATAGCTTAATTATAAAGAGCTTGTGCAGGATGTATGAGGTATGGGGTTTTATCTCTGGCAAAACAAACACACACACACACACACACACACACCTGTATTAGTTTAAATAAATAACGTGATCTTCTTTAATAAATAAAGAAGTTTAAATAAATAACTTGATCTACGTTCCTTTAAATGACATTATAATGTTCAAGATACTTTATGGATTTGGACAAATTATATTTTGTCTCTTTCTTTTAAATCAACACATCAGCTGTTATATACTATCATTGGAAACATCATTAAGAATCTGGGCTGGTCTCTGACTTGGAACTACATTCATGCCATTTGCATAGCATGTCCAATTGAACTATTTTTAGTTTTATTTTAAAAAAAGTCATTACTCTTAGGTGGATAAAGAAAAAAAACAGTAAAATTTAGATTTCAGGGATTCATCAAAATTCATACTATTCACGTTAATTCATAACTATATCTAATTTAATCACTGCAAAAGCAACAGAATAAAAAGAAAACATTTTACCTTCAAATTTAGAATGAACAATGCTTTATTACAATTCATTTAAAAGAATACTGCTAATAATCCATAAATTTCCTGACATAATTAACAAGTTGAGGAATTCACCTTTACACCTATTCATTTCTGGGACACAAATTGTACATATATTACCACACAATTATTTCTCCACAATATTAAGACTAATAGGCTATATAGGAAAACATCAATTTTTTAAAAGCAATTAAAATGTAAAAACCAGTAAAAAAAAAATTTATTCATTTTACTGTATTAGTCCATACTCAGATCATTCAAAATATTCTTTTTGACAATCAGTAGAATTCATTACATACTATAAATAACACCACATTTATGCACAAATAATTTAATTTTTCCGTTAAGAGCTAATCTTCTTTTAAGAATATTTCCCACATATTCACAGTACTTAACATCACAGAACACCCATATTTGGCCTAAATGTCTCTGAATTGTAGCATTACAAGATGGAAGTTCATTATGCCTAATAATTCGATTGAGTTTTACCCAAATGTCTTCCAGAGTTTGATTGTTACAAACATTGTGTTCTATTGTCCATCTTGCTCTATAAAATGAGTGCAAATTTAGTAGTTCTAAAATATCTTGCAATTTCTTAGACAAAGGAAAAATGTTTTCAGTACAATTATTGTTGGCAAGTGAAACACTCCAAGACCTCCTCTTATGTTGTTTTCCTTTTTCTGATTTCTTGTCCAGATTTCCAGAATCAGGGTGTTCATTCAGGGTATCTGACTGGATTAAGTGCTGCTTTTTCAAACTAGGTTGAAACTCCAAAAGATCTACCGTGCAATCATAACTCTGTGATTTAATGTCATGTTTTGAAATGGTTAAGTACTGTTTCACATCTTCAGCTGCCTCTCCAGAAATTATAGGTGGTGATCCTTTAGGTTTGAGTGGAAGCTTGGACCCATCATGTGGAAACCAAGGAATAAATCTTGATAATGGACGAGTAGGAAAGTCTTGCATTGCCTTTTCTGCAATTTTTGGCAGTTGTGTGGGATCACTCTCATAAGGTCGATAATGTATTATTACTTCTGTAGTCATTCTGCAATAATCCATTTACTCTTACTGAAGAGAAAATTTCTTAGCTGAACTCTTCAGAGCTAGAATGTTAATTTACTATTACAAGACTTTCTCTCTTGTCAAACCAGAAGGAACAGGACCTAAGGTGGAAGTATTGCAAAGAATAAGATATGGTAGGGATAGCCTGCGTACAAATAGGCAGGAAGAAAAGGAAAAAGGAAACCAATTCCCATATGCTATTTTAACAAAGTGCTATTGATAAGTGTGAATGCATTTCACAAACTTGAAAATCCTTTCTCACCAAAATAAGGGATTTGAATTAAAGTTCACTAAGATCACTTCCAGGCTAATAATGCTAATAGTTAGCATGTTTAACTCAACAGGTATAAAGGACTTGGAAGCATTAATATTAATATATTAATAAAAGTCCTTCTCAAAACTATTGCAGAAACAGAGTAAATTAGTGATTCTTAAAGTACCAGATACATATAATGTAATATTTTAAAATTTGAGATGTCTGAACTAAATGAAATCTCTGTAATTTTTTTATCTATCTGGGAGAAAATCACTTTCTGCTTTAAAACTTTATGAATTTTACCAAACAAATATACAGACTACTTAAAGACTATATCTCATTTTCAGTAGTAAACAGTAAAAACATGAATATGACTATACTTTGCATTTTAACCAGGATAGGATGCTATAATCTTCTTTGGATTGAGACTAGTACAGTATTGAGATCCTAGTACCAAGGCTCCTGAATTCCAATTTGAAGGAAGAACAAGTTCTAGACTTATTTTTTTTCTCTTAGAACAAAGAAGTCCTCAGGTGGCCCCAAAGTAAGTCACTGATAATAAGTTACAATATATAGAACTTCCAATACATAGGTTCAACAAGGGATTTGTGAGGCTTCCCAACGAGGCCCAAAGCTATAAGACTGTACTACAGGCTCTTTCATAGTCCAACTGCTGTAGAAGAGAATAAAATAAGAAGTTGAATTTCTTTCCCCTCCAAATTAGAGAACCACTTGATGAGGGTTCTCCAACTGGTAGGATGATCTGGAGTGGGGATTTTCAGTCTTGATGTCACAATAGAATTACTGATTCTAAGAGTTAACAAGTAACTAATCTCATAACCCCTCTGACTATAATATATAGTCCACATACTTGATGTGAGATTGAGACAACATGAATATGACAATTAGTATCTTTTCTCCACAAATAATCTATTTGTCTAGATCATCTGCTCAGGCTAAGTTTACAGGTACTGCTGCTATATTATTTAATCTTGAAAGTTTCTTAGTTCTAGGTACAGAGACAATCTTGTTAACTTCAGCCACCAGTGTTACAAATTAAATATTACAAATAGAATTGGTGAGCTTCTGGAATGTCTAATGCCTACATCATAGGCGTAGGTAGAAATGAACAGTCTCTCAAAATGGAAGCCATAAAGAAGGTAAGTGCAATTCAATTGAATTCAAACATCGAATGAGCATTTCCCTAGCTTATTCCGAGGCATTGTTAACTTATATATTAGAGCATTTAGAAATAAAAAGTTCATTTGTGGTACAATACATGTTATAAAGCTAAAAACATTTGAAATAAAGGGTTTCAGAAAAATCTTACTGTTGGTTTTTCCTAAGCAATGATCTAATTCAACCATCAAATTTACTAAAAATTGTCATGTATAGAAAATCAAAGTTGACACGGTTCCCACATACATAATACTCTGAGGTAAACTTCAGAAAGTTTTAATACATATAAGCTATATATAGTGATACCAAATATTGGTAAATCTCTGCCACTATCATGCAACACTAATTTCACATTTAAGGTGAAGCCTGGTAACCTCCTAAGTGCATATGGCTGACCTCAAACAGAAGGAAAAACCTTTGAACGTCAGTTGTAAGTGATTTCAGTTCACAGGGACCTCTTCAGTAGGGTCGAGACGTCAACTTTTGCTCGCAGCACAGATCAGAAAGAGTTATCTATCAGCTACTATTTCATTCTAGAAAACGGCTCCGGACCCTAAAAAGCAAGGAAATGACATCGCTTCCTCCCGCTTGGCCTAAGGCATAGGGCAGGAATGCTAGGGCGAACGGTGCTTAAAGAAAGAAGGAGGCCTACAGCCCAGACACGAGATCCGTGTGGCAAAGGCTTCGAAACAGAGGAGAGAAAACAGGATAAGGGAAGTAAGGCTCACAAAAGTTTACCTTTCAGCGCCAGCAGGTGCTCTTGTTTGGGGGGATTCACTTCCATTTTGCCCGGCACTGATCCACTGCCTACGGTGTCTGAAGAGGTTCAACCTGGCCCGGAAGAAAACAGAGAAACGCGCGACAGGGAAGATCTGTCGTCAAACGCACTTCCAACAGCTTCTTTTGGAGGTGGTACCTTAAATTCTCTTTTTGCTACGTTCTTTACGGCCCTCACAGCTTCTTTTCATCAGTCATCCGTTCTGTCTTACAGATCTATACATATTATGGTCCATCTACAATCACACATCGTGACTTCAAGAAACCTCTTGTCGATACCAACACGCAGCCTCCTAGACGTCTACGGTGCAGGAATTTAAAAAAAAAAAAAGGAGAGTGGCATGCTGGGATTTGTAGCTTATACAAAAATTGGATTGCCTGCGGGGAGATGTAATACCTTTCCCCCACTCAACCCCCATCTGGTTTGCAATTGGAGAGGCGTTATTACAGGATGGAAAATTTCATACTTGAACTTTTTCTGATTTTCCCTTTTTTTTGGTTTGTATTTACTTACCTTCGTCCATCAGCTGCAGATTCCTCAATTAAAAAAAAAAAAAAAAAGAAAGAAAGAAAGAAAGAAAGAAAGAAAAAAGAAAAATTGCCGGTGAGCCAGATCGGGCTGCCAAGCAGCCAATGATTGACAGAAGGAGGAGGGCGGGGCCGGCGGGAGGCTCCCCCCCCCCCGCGTCGTACTGCGCCTGTGCGCAGCGGCGTGCGCCGAGGCCTGTGGGTAGATGGTTCAGCCCCGCCTCCCAGTTGCTGGCTCAGGCCGCTGTCTTTGCTTTGCGGCGCTGCTCCTCCCAGGATGGCTACCCTGGTTGTAAACAAGCCTGGAGCGGGACTAGACAGTGGCCGGCAGGGCAGCCGGGGAGCTGCTGTGGTGAAGGTGAGGGACCTTGCGTGCGCTCTTCTCCACAGTCGGCCTCCCTTGGGTTCATCCTGGAGACCCTACTGCGTCGGTGCGGCCCTGGCTTTGATGGTTGGGATGCGCGGCCTCTGGGCGGCTCTTGGCTCTACGTCTTGCCTCCCCTCCTCCCCCAGCGATCCAGTAACCCCCTCTGGCCCCATGTTGCGTGGTCAGCTCATGTCAGATGTCAGCATCTGCACCCGGTGCATTTGTGAAAAGGACCGTGTCGGCCTGTGAGAGTGACCTGGACTGGTCTTTACTGCTTTAGTTAAGTTCAACAGGCATCAGTTAGTTTGTTTTTATTAAATCGAGCTGTTATGGCCAAGTACTATATTAGGTGTTTTAGCTCCTCAGTATCTACTTATGAGGTAGATATTAAATCTCACTTTACAAGGAAAGAAACCCATATTTAGGTTAACACAGTAAATGTCAAAAGCCCGTGGTTGAGTGACTCTAAAGTATGCTTTTCACTCTTGCGCTACTTCTATAATTATACATCTATTATTGGTTGAGCTGCTGCCTTCCTTTGTAATACAGCATCAAAACTTCTGAGAATTCTCTAGCTGCAGCAAAACTGAGCATCAACGCTGGTATTTATGAGTTGCCCTGTGCAATTCCTGTGAAATCTGAAATTTAACCACGTGTAAATGTACAAAATGCATTCGCTACCAAATCAAATGAATATATGTGGAACTCATTTTTCCCTTTCATTGTAGTATGAAAGACCCGAAAGGGATAACTGACCACATGGTCTATAGAGTAACCTTGAGGCTCATCTGTAATGTAAGAGATCGATAATTCTCATTTCTGGCTGTAACTAAGGACTTCAAAAAAAACTATTGATGCGCTCCTTCAAGTCTGATTACGTTGACATCAGTATATTTTTTAAGTTCCTAGAAGTGATTTTAATGTGCAAACAGGATTGAGAATCACTGAGCCAGATAATTTCTGAAGGTTTTTTTGAATAATGGGTACCTAATGATTTTTCTTCTAATGTTAGTGTTATATGATTTCAAATGAGATATTTATGCTATAACTTAGTATCAGTCAATATTAGTGGCTGTTGATTCAGTTGACCTTTGTGAGTGAAGGTATTTTGTAAGTATATAGTACATCTGAGATACAGGAGAGCCCTCATTATTTACACATATTGTATGGTTGCGATTTAAATTTTTGAATTGTGTTTTACTAAGTAGAGAATTCCTGCAGATTCCTGAACTTGTAAGTTCACAAATGGGTATCATTGCCATTTCTATTTTTGTTACCTTGTCTGCCTTGTACTTTCAAAAGTGTACCAAATGAAACTCTCCTTTGTTACAGCATGGAATTTGATTCATAAGAGGTATCCCTTGTTCATTTTCATCTTAACATGTAAAATGTTCCTGAACTCTCAATAAGAATCCTTTTTCAGAAAGCAGGAAGTATTTATTGGAAGGTAAAGGTTGAAATTCATAATGCTAATACTGTGTAAAATGGCCTTTTGTTAAATGAACAAGTTTATAAAACAAAAATCTGATATATTGTAAAATAATTAACATTTAAAAATGAATAAGAAAGGTTTTTTGTTTTGTTTGCCGAACATTCTTAGTCCTTTTAAAAGTATGACCTCGTTTATAAAAATTTGATTTACATTGTTTGAAATAATTTTGAAGCTTTTGAATATTTGTGAAATGTAAAATTAAGTTGATTTTCCCCTATTCTGGACTTAATTTTTTCATACTGTTTAGCTACATTTCCTATTCATAGATCCTGAGGGAAGAGTTTCTTGCTCTATTATTTAACAAGTTGATACATGAGTTATTTTTGTATGGATGTTTGGTTTACTAATGAATAGAATTTTACTAGTGATTCTTTTGTGGTAGGGGGCAGGAAGTGAGCCCAGAGCCTCCCATGTGCTGGGCAAATGCTCTATGACTAAACCTCATTCCCAGTCTTTTTGAAAATTGTATTTTTGAAACCAGATCTCATAAAATTGCTCAGGCTAACCCAAGGCTAATCCTCCTGTTTTAGCCTTCTGAGTAGCTGGGATTACAGGTGTGTGCCACTGTGTCCAGCTTTTACTAGTGTTTCCTCCCCTCCCCTCTCCTTCTCCATCCCTTTACTGGTACGTTTTTTTTGGGTGGGGGTGAACTGGTGTATTATCTAGCATAGTGATGGGGTCAGAGATATAATATGTGAATGAATTAGACAAAACTTTAGTTCGATTCCTTTGTTTATTGTCATAAATAAGTTTAATTATTGTAGTATCACAATGTGAGCATTTATAAAAATATTGCATTTATTTATTTTTATTATTTTTTTAGTTGTAGTTGGACACAGTACCTTTATTTTATTTATTTATTTATTTATTTTCTCTGGTAGGTGCCAGACATTTCATTTTTGTTTAATTTTAATTTTTTTTATTATTAGTTGTTCAAAACATTACAAAGCTCTTGACATATCATATTTCATACGTTTGATTCAAGTGGGTTATGAACTATTTTTACCCCATATACAGATTGCAGAATCACATCAGTTACACATCCACGTTTTTACATACTGCCATACTAGTGTCCATTGTATTTTGCTGCCTTTCCTATCCTCTACTATCCCCCCTCCCCTCCCCTCCCCTCCCATCTTCTCTCTCTACCCCATCTACTGTAATTCATTTCTCTCCCTTGTTGTTTTTTTTCCCTTTCCCCTCACTTCCTCTTATATGTAATTTTGTATAACAATGAGGGTCTCCTTCCATTTCCATGCAATTTCCCTTCTCTCTCCCTTTCCCTTCCACCTCTCGTCTCTGTTTAATGTTAATCTTCTTCTCATGCTCTTCCTCCCTGCTCTGTTCTTAGTTGTTCTCCTTATATCAAAGAAGACATTTGGCATTTGTTTTTTGGGGATTGGCTAGCCTCACTTAGCATAATCTGCTCTAATGCCATCCATTTCCCTGCAAATGCCATGATTTTGTCATTTTTTAGTGCTGAGTAATACTCCATTGTGTATAAATGCCACATTTTTTTAATCCATTCATCTATTGAAGGGCATCTAGGTTGGTTCCACAGTCTAGCTATTGTGAATTGTGCTGCTGTTTATTTTTTTATGTGGTGCTGAGGATCAAACCCATGGCCTTGAATGTGCTCTACTGCTAAGCCACAACCTCATTCCCACATTTATTTTTATAATATATAATTGTATTGCTAATCTTTCTGTGTTTAGTTAAATTTGATAAAGTGAAACACAAAGATGGTTCAACATAAACAAATCAATAAACAATTCAACACATAAAGAGAATCAAGGATAAAAACTACCCGATTATCTTAATAGATGCAGAAATATCCTCTGACAAAATTCAACATCCCTTCCTGACAAAAGTCTTGAAGAAACTAGGTATGAAAGAATCAAACCTCAACATAATAAAGGTTATGTACAACAAATCTGTAGTCAACTTCATAGTGAATGGGAAAAAATCTAAAAGCATTTTCTTTAAAATCAGGAATGAGACAAGGTATCTACTCTTATTCCATATAATACTTAAAATTTTAGCCAGTGCAATCAGTCAAAACAAAGTTACAAAAGGGATAAAAATAGGGTAGAGGAAAGTCAAATTATCCCTGTGCGTATACATGTGTAATTTATGGGTGTTTTTTCCCTGACTGCTTCCCTTTTTCCCTTTTTCGTAGAAAACCAATATTCCTATGTTATTGGTTTCCTATGTATCCTTCCAGAGATAGTATACTTATGTAGTAATACATAAAATATTTGCACCCTTTTTTTCCCACCTTTACACAAAATGAATATATTCTATTTATCATTTTTCACTCTGCTTTATTCATATGAAATCATTTTCAGTGTATACACAAGAAAACCTCCTAAATCCCTTCTTACTACTCTGCTCAAGTTTTATAGCATAAGAGTACACTAGCATTTATTTTCCAGTTTGGTAATGGTATATATTTACTTTGCTTCTAATTGTTTTTAAACAAAGTTTGTTATAATGACTTAATCTCATTAATTATACAAATTAATGGATTTATCTGTGACATTTCCTTACATGCACACATTATATTGTGATTTTTTTTTAACCCTCCCTGTCCACTTTTTCCCTGTCCTCTCTATTTCCTCATTCTGGTCCTCTTTCCCTTCCCTAATAAATTCTCTCTCTTATTTTCAGGTCATCTTTTTTTTTCCCCCTGAGTTTTTAGATGTGAGAGAAAATATGCAATAATTATCTTTCTCTCTCTGCCGTATTTTGCTTAACATGAAAACTTCTAGTTCCAACCATTTCCCTGCAAATGACTGAATTTTATCCTTTTTTATGGCTGAATAAAATTCCATGTGTTTATATCCCATATATTTTTTATTTGCTCACCTGTTGATGGGCACTTAGGCTGATTCTACATCTTTACCAATGTGAATAGTGCTGCAGTAAACATAGGTATCTCATTTGTATACTGACTTGATTTCCTGTGGTAATATATGCAAGAGTTGTATAGCTGAATCATATGTAGATCTATTTTGAGTGTTTTGAGAAACTCCTATACTTTTTTCCATAGTGGCTATACTAATTGACATTCCCACCAATGTTGTATTAAGATTTTCTTTTTCTCCACATCCTCAACAGCATTTGTCTTTGTTGTTGTTGTTTGTTTTGAAAATATCTGTTCTGACTGGTGTGA